GGGGTGGGACGGGAGGCGGTCCGCCGCCTCCCGTCCCACCCCTTCGTCCGCTGCGGCGGCTCCCGCGGGGTTTTCAAGCGGCGGCAGTGAGAGAAAATGGAGGGCGCTGCGCCGTGGCGCGTGTTACCTCAGAGCGGGTGGGAGGCGCGCGGCGCGGCGGCGCCCTGAGGGAGGATGAGCGGCGGGCGGCAACGCACTTTACCTCAGGCCTGGAGGGCGGCGAGCGGGAAGGAGGAGAAGAAGGAGGAGGAAGAAGAAGACGACGATGACTTGTTGTTGTTGGCGGCCGCGGCGGCGGCGGACCCGAGCCCGGTGGCGGCCGACCCGAGCCCGGTGGCGGGTTTCTGTGAGGCGGCGGGCTCCATTTGGATCTACCCCACTAACTACCCGGTGCGCGGCTACCAGGTGCGCATGGCCCACGCCGCCTTGTTGGGGAACACGCTGGTCTGTTTGCCCACTGGCCTGGGTAAAACCTTCGTGGCCGCCGTCGTCATGTACAACTTCTACCGCTGGTTTCCCTCCGGCAAGGTGCTCTTCCTCGCCCCTACCAAGCCGCTGGTGGCTCAGCAGATGGAAGCCTGCGCCCGCGTTATGGGCATCCCGGCCCGGCACATGGCCGAGATGACAGGTAGGGCGGCAGCAGGGCCGGGGCCGGGTCTGCTCCGCTCCGGGGTGCCTCGGAGGAGCCGCAAACATTGAGGCTGCTTAGCTGAAAGGCAAGGGCAAGAAACGTGAAGAGCCCTGGGGGGGGGGAGTATTTTTTTAGGACTAGAAGCTTTTTAAGGGGTAAATTTTAAGTTCTGCAATAGTTAAAACCCTAGGTCACCCATATAAGGGTGGTGAAGCGCTGGAATGTGTTTTCTGGAGCTCTGGTGCGCAGCCCTGTGGCTCACAGAGCCCTAGAGTTTCCACACAGAGGTGTAAATGTCTGCACAGAAAACATGCTCTGTGTGAAACTTCAGCCAAAGAATAATGGCGCTTTTTTTTTCCTTTAAAGTTTTTGCAGACCCCGTGAACTGCAGTTTACTGCTTACTGAAGTAATAGCCTTAACGACTGAATCCGTAACCTGCTTTTAAGCACAAACCGTTGTCAGCGATGGTGTAGATTAGGCGTAGAGCTGCGGGAGTGTCCCGGTTTCAGCTGGGATAGAGTTAATTGTCTTCCTAGTAGCTGGTATAGCGTTATGGTTTTGAGTTAGGTATGTAAAGAATGTTGATAACACACTGATGTTTTCAGTTGTTGCTAAGTAGTGTTTATACCAAGTCAAGGATTTTTCAGCTTCTGATGCCCAGCCAGCAAGAAGGCTGGAGGGGCACAAGGAGTTGGGAGGGGACACAGCCAGGGCAGCTGACCCAAACTGGCCAAAGGGGTATTCCATACCGTGTGACGTCATGTCCAGTATATAAACTGGGGGGAGCTGGCCTGGGGGGATTGCTGCATGGGGACTAACTGGGCATTGGTCAGCAGGTGGTGAGCAATTGCATTGTGCATCACTTGTTTTGTATATTTCAATCCTTTTATTAGTATTGTCCTTTTATTATTGTTGCTATTATCATTAATAGTTTCTTCCTTTCTGTTCTACTAAGCTGTTCTTATCTCAACCCATGAGTTCTACCTTTTCCCTTCCAGTTCTCTTCCCCCATCCCACTGGATGGGGGGGAGTGAGTGAGCAGCTGTGTGGTGCTTAGTTGCTGGCTGGGAATAAACCATAATGGGGAGGCTGGGGGGCACCTTGAGTTTTCTAGCCTTTGTTTCTGTGGTTCTGGCTTTAGTGTTTTAATGCAGAATATCTTCCTAGTCCTTGTATTCACCCTTTTTTCCTGAAAATGGGATTAGCGTCAAGGTGCGTGCTGTTTTAAAAGGCACTCCTTTCCCAAAGCCAACATGGGTCTGCCAGCCCCATTGGCCTTCTGCTGTTGCTCTCGGGTCACAGGTCATGGCTTGTTCTCAGCAGAACAATTTGGAAATGTTATTTCTTTAATTTTCAGGGGGAACCCAAGCTCTTAGTCGGAGGGAACTGTGGACTACTAAGAGAGTCTTCTTCCTTACACCTCAAATAATGGTGAATGATCTTTCCCGTGGGACGTGTCCTGCTGTAGAGATTAAATGTTTGGTTATTGATGAAGCCCACAAAGCCCTTGGAAATCATGCCTACTGTCAGGTAATGCTGGAGCCACCCCACTCTTGTCTCATCATTACAAAAGACCTCCCCCAAAGTCACTTACAGGATCTCCATAAAGTGTCACTGTCATCATTGCTGTAGGGAGATTGTCCTTTAGGTCCTTAGCTTTGTTTGAAAGAGACCAAACAGTCCTCTATGTTGTCAGTGCCTTGTTGTTAAGTAAAAACTGTATTAAAACTTGATAAGGTGAGGTGGGAATTTTTTTAATCTCTGAATAAAATTACAATTGTTGTTTCAAAATATTTTTTTTCACTGAGGTAATTTTAAAAAAAGTCACTATGCTGTTTCTTTCAGATATGTTTGTATTTGCAGGTGTACTCTGGTGTGTTTGTGCTATGTTGGAATAGCTCTTAAATGGGGGAGGTATTTTTTTCAGAAAAAAGTGCAGGCTTTTTTTGGTGAAGTTCTTTATCTTAGTAAATGTGTTCAAGATTTCGTTTTAAAATAGGGTTTTGTCTTGATTAGCAAAGAGTTTGTTGTGTTATCTTGGCTTAATCTCCTCATAGCGGTATGTGACTTAGAAGAAAGTTACAGGTTTATATACTGGAGAAATTGACTGAATGTGTATGGAGTTGTGTCTCATTGCTTACTAGGCCTCTTTAGAGGAAAATAGGTGTGTTTTAGTGCTTGTCGAACTCAGCATGCTGGAAAAGAGATGGTAGCTTGCTAAGTTAAAACAGTACATGTTGGTTTGCCAATGTTGCAATTTTCTTCTATAATTTTTCAGAACTGTAGGAACTTCATTTTCAAAGAATTTAAGTTTATACATTATTTTATTTCAAAATACTGTATAAAAATATTGTCTTAAAATATTTTACTATCATGCAAATCACTCTCAAACAGAGAGCCAAGACTTGTATTCATTAGCTTTTGAGTTGTCCTAGCTATAGCTGGGAAAAATTTCTTCCATCACCCCTTGTCAGTCTCCATGGCTGTGAAATTGGCAGGCTTTGTTCTCTGTTTTATCTCTGCCTTTGCATGATTTTCAGGAGATCTATCAGCACGAATTGAATTTCTCTTTAGTCTCCGTTCACTTATTATGTATTATATAGCTTTTACGTTCTGTTCTGTTACTTGAAATTTTTTGTTGTGCAGCGCGAGGTGGTTGGTCAGAAGGCACAGTGTCCGCTGATAGCACTAGCAGAGTTCAGGTCTGTGGGAAAATGAAGTAGGGAAGCAATTTGGCTGTTGCTTGAATGTTGAGCAGCTATTGTACTTGTCCCTGTGTTGGTCTTGGAGAGGGTTGTAGAATGAGAACATGGGAAGTCTAGGGAATATTCAGCCATTTTCCTAATTGCTAATGCAACTTTTTCAACTGAATGCTGATTGTCATGGTGGTTGTCATCTAATCTCTGTTCAGATTTCATGGGACTAATCATCCATGATTTACTTTTTTTTATTTTTTTTTTTTTTTTTTTAGAGGGGTGAGGGGTTCTTCAAACTTACTTTTTGGCAGCTCACTTGAGTTAGTGTGCTGTTAATCTTTTTGTTAAATCAAGTGAAAAATCATTTTGTAATTTACCAAGGTTGTTCTGCTGAATGGGACTGAGGTAATACACTTAACCAAGATTAACTGTTCTTGGATAAAATGGTTATAAAGCTCTTTCAAACAAAGCTAAGGACCTAAAGGACAATATAAACACCTCTTGGTTCCCATTTTAATTTAGATATACTCTTTTTAGAATATTTTGTTAAGCTTTTTCTACTTAGTGGGTATTTTCATCGATACGGTTTGTATGAGCAAATAGTCTCCTTTAAGGATATTAACGGAAACTCTCCTATTCTTAGGTTGTAAGGGAACTAAGCAAATATACAAATCAATTTCGGATCTTGGCCCTAAGTGCCACACCAGGCAGTGATACAAAGGTGAGTCAAATCTACTTGCATGTTTGAAATAATAAAATTTCAGTAAAAGCTATGTTTAATACCAGTTTGAACGTTGTGTAGGATACTGAAGTCTATTAGAATTCCATGTAAAAACTGAATCTCTTTACAATCCATTAGATGTTAAGGGTTTGTCTTTTTCATGCTATAGACTCTATATTATTGATTTCCTGACCTTTCTAAAAGGAAATAATACCTTTTGGTTTTTGAGAATACAAACCTACTTGAACCAAAAAGAATATACTCTCAGTGCAAAATAACTTTCATATTCTGTTCAGTGTGATATGTTGGGTAAATATAAGTAAGGCTTAGCTTTTCAGTTTAAGGCAGATGGACATCCAAATTCAGTTTAAGCTCCTAGCTCCAGGTTACTTCTCGTCAGGTATTTCATGGTGCACCCAAAGCCAAAGGGAGAGTTCTGTCTCTCCAGCCCTTGTGCAATTGTATGCTTTTTGCATTCATGAACTTACCATGTTGGCTCTTTGTATGCTACTTGAGATCTTTAAGTGGAGAGTTTCATTTTTCATCTATAGGTAGTAGGTACCTTTTCCTTACAATTATATTCATGCTAAAATATGGAAATGGTTACTTTAATGTGATACTGACTTGCATTGTTGGGAGTGTTAATAAGCAAATACGGTCTTTTCTGTGGCTTCTCAAACAGGCTGTGCAGCAAGTTATTTCCAACTTACTCATTGCTCAGATAGAGCTATGTGCTGAAGATTCTCCAGAAATTCAGCCTTATTCTCATGAGCGACAAGTGGAAAAAATTGTTGTTCCACTTGGTGAAGAATTGGTAGAAATTCAGAATGCTTACATTGGGGTGAGTTTTTGCATTTATTTGTTGTTAAATGGACAGTGTCACTAAACATATAATCTTCCTTCCTATTTTAACGTATCTATCTAGACTAGCAATAACTTATAAAGGTAACACTTTGCTATGCAATTAACTTTGCCTTTGAGTATAAGGTAAAGAAAAAACCCCATGGTTTCAACTACAGCAGCTGCTGTTCCACTTTGCACCAATGATACCTGTTACCTTGCATATCTTAAAAAGTTCTGGCAGAAAACTTACAGTTTAATTAGTTTTCTCATCCTCTTTCAGAAGTCCTTGTAAAATTGACATGAGGACTCAACCGAGGGCTTCTTAATTTGGCTGAATTTATTAAGGTGTTGAGAATGGCCATGCTTGTGTTGTCTAGGTTATTGCCAGCCTTATGAAAACTGTGTATTGACTGAAACATTTTCTCTGATTAAGAATATTCTTTAGAGCTATAAGTCATCTGTAAGTGTACTTAGTTCTCCTTGATTTTTGTTGTTGGGGTTTTTTTCTGATTTTTTTTTTCTAATTTTTCTCTTGAGAGCTTTTTCTTTTCTTTTTTTTACCAGTAGGTAATGTCCAAATATAGGACAGATTAGCAGGGACCAGAACTGTTAGCCAGTCAATGATGACTTAATGGTCTGTATCTTGTCAGTAAGTTCCTAGTAGACAAATGGTATTACATAAGATACTACTTTGAAAAGTTCAAAATAGATGTTCTTTTTTTGTAGGAGACATAAAAAAATTAGGATTAAGTTAGTATCAGACTGTTGACCTTAGAGTATGGTTTTGGTTAAAGTTTAATGATTTTGATGTAGTTTATGTGAAGACCATTGGAAGGTAAACTTGTTCGTTCATTTTTCTAGATTGAATTAGCTGTTTTCAAACCAGTAACCTGAGAGTGTATTTAAATGAGGAAGTTCCACTGATAACCTAGCAAGAACTTCAAAGATAGTTTTGCATCACTACAGGTGCCTCTGAATGCTCGTATTGAGTGCAGGGATTTCATTTGCAGTGTTTCACTTGAGATTTAAGCTGAAATAAGCATGTAGGTTTGGCTAATCTGCTGTAATTGAGGCATATAAACAAACTTTGACTAAATTGTCACTGTGGCTTCAGTGGTTTCCATTTCCTTTCTTTGATCTGGTATTTGCATTTGTATTGCTACTGCTTTACTTAGAAAATATGACTTGTAACAACAGAGAGGGTGCGAAAGGATGGTGCCCCAGCCTTTTCCAGTGTTCCTGGGTAAGCCAAGCCTTAGTCTTAGAGACTTCAGCGCTTTCAAAAGTGGCTCCTGTACCTCCGTTTCTGCAGAGGTGTTTCTGTAGTGCAGTTTTCTGTGGCACAGCAGTGGACCTCAGCCATGCCCTGAAGTTAAATTACACCGTTTACTGGACTCCTGTGTTTTGGCTTCTGATTGGCTTGAGATCAGGGTGTATGACTGCAGCCACAGAGAAGCAACAAGTACATGTTGCATTATCCTTGTCCCTTGCCAAAAGAATCAGTCGTGAAGTATGTTCTGAATGGCATCAGGATTTAGGAGAAAACTATGCATATGTCGCTCTTTGTTAAGTACTGCTTCTCTACAGTTTGATTCTGAAACCAGTCCTACCCCAGTCTGTGCTGCAGTAAGAATTGGGGGAGACTGTGCTGGACGCTTGACAAAAATGGGCTTGCCAATGGCTTCTGCAGTGAGGAGGAGTGAGTTTGCTAGCAGGCCTGCTGGCTGCAGCACATAGACGCATAGCTCCAAATGTACATGTTTATTTCAAAGAATGTATGTTCTTTTGAAAGCTATTTAAGTTTTGTGGGTCTTAGAGCAACCGTTTCAAATGTGGGGCTTAAATGGCTTTTGTAAAATCAGAATAGCAACTTGTGACTTCTGCTGTTCCCATTCAAAGGAGAGATAGCAAAAGGACTTGTATGTTCATTACAAAAATGAAAGCTGGGGTACTCTGCACAATAAGATCATTATCTTTAATTTTGACAAACAGTAACAGTAAACAAGACGACATTTCAGTGAAAATGAAGGATAGTGTAAAACAGCACAACGCAACAATGCCGGATAAATTATGTTTATATTTGTATACATACAATAAGCAAGGCCCTGAGTATCACAATAGCTGGAATAAACCTTTGAGGCACTAATGCTTGTTTGGAAAATACACAGTATGCAGGACAACATTTATCTGTTAAGGCTATGTCATTTAATCCTCAAAAAATATGGGTGAATTCTGTTTTATTATCTCCTTTGAATAGTGGAAATCCAATAACTTCAAATTAAAAATGAAAATCCATTAATTAATGGCTTACAAAATAGAGCCACAGGTGGATAATAATAAAAAAATGCCTATTCTGATAACAGGAGTTAGGTAATCATGCTTGACGTGATGTTTCCAGACTTTCTGAAGTGATGTATTTGAGTAATAGTAACATTTCCTTGGTATTTGCTGGTGTAACTATTAAGCAAACTTTATCGTGTGTCAGTGAAAAAACACAATTCTTTATGCCCGTGCTTGTGAGGGCCAGTTACAGAAGTTGGTACAATGATCCATAGCCATAAAGTGTATCTTCAAACTTGAGATTAATTGGTTCTCAGCAGCAGAAGCTGTCTAATGTAAGTCAAAATAAATACTATCTTGGAATTCACAGTTTTACATAAAACAACACTGAACACTTTGCTGCAGTTAGGATATCAGCACATTCAGATAAATAGCTTAGTTTTATATTTCAGTAACAACAATGTTTCTATAACATACCCACAAGTAGCTGAGTCACAGAAGTATTTAGGTGAAGATTGCCTGTGGAAGGAGACATAAGATACAGCAAATGCTTTTTGTAATAGACATTTAAAATGTAAACTATGTACAAACTGGTACTTTATGGCGAGAGGATTTAACTACTTCCGATAACTATTTGACATTTGTTGTGCCAAAGCATTAAAATAATTTTCATAGCTGGCAAAAGCAACCAAGTTGCAGAAGCTTCTTTATTTTGCCATAAAATCTTGTCAAAGGTAAAAATTGTTTTTATTTGCTATTATGAAAATCTTGGGAGGGGGGTGTGAGGGCAAAACAAAATCTGTTATTTAATGCCTCCCTGGGCCCTCTACTCAACTCAGTTTTTAAAAACTTTTTGTTGTTTTTCATTAACCTGTTAGCTTTCATTTTAATACTGGCTAGCATTTCCAACAGTCTGAGGAAATGTTAAAAATAAATGAAAAGCAAAATAAATAAAAATCAAACAGGAAATAATCCAACATACTGAAAAGGAAGTCTGATTTTTTTTTTTCTTTTTTTTTCTCCTCTCCCCCTGCCCCCCTCCGGCTATGATCCTGTATCTTGAACAAATTGAGAGGAATAAAAGACATGACAGGTACCTTCATTGCCTTGTTCTGTTAAGTAAGAAATACTTTGATGTGCATTTAAATTGGCGCATAAAAGAAATACTTTGACGTGCATTTAAATTGGCACGTTGGACAAAGTAGTTCCTCATTTGTGACATCTGTGCTGTCATGTGGCAAACCAGCTTTGATAGTTTTCTGGCTGGAGTAAGAAAGATCCCAAACCCACAGTCTTTTCTGAGATTCCCCCCCAACAGTTTAACATCCAGTTAATTTGTGGCAATACAAATGTCTGTGCTGGACTCATGCGGGGTCTCTGAACAGCTAGGGATATCGGACATCCAGAAGAAAGTAAGGACTGCCTTTTTTGTGTGGTGTTTGTGGGGTTGGTTTTTTTTTTTCTTTTTTCCTCCTCAGAAAGACTATCAGTTTGCCTGTGTCAAAACGAAGGCTTTTCTCTCTCTTTTTGTTGTTTTTTTGTTTTGTTTTGTTTTTTGTTTTTCCCCCCCTTCGCCCGGCTGTCTCCCCGAGGGGTCTCTGCTAGCAGCAGCCACCAGAAGGCGCCTTGCCCACGCGTGAGCACGCTCGGCCGGGCCAGCCGGCACTCTGACCTGGCTCCTCAGCCGGGGCTTTCGGGTTAAGCCGGCAGTCAGTGTGGTGCAGCAGAGCGCCGTGTGGAACCGGGAGCCTTAAAGCTCTTGAGACCTGTTTGTTTATTCAGTCAGAAGTACTACATAAATCCATTTTGTTTGCCAGTTAACTCTACTGTAAGCTAGCTGACACTGGCTCTGGTTGCTGTTTTGTATGCTGTAACTGAAGAACGCAAAAGCTCTATTTAAAGCCTAAACCCTGTAATCAATAAATAATGCTGGTGATGTACTTAATGAAATTTTATATAAAAAGACATTTACTTCTATTAAGATTAAACTCTACCATCAGATCTGTAACGGGACATATTAAGAAGGGATTTTTGAGAGCAAAACTGTTTGCTACCCTGATTCTAAAGTGCAGTAGGTGCTCTTTAACTGTAGTAAACAGCAAAGCATGAATGCTGCTTTCAGACCTTCTGATGCATGTAGAACTATGTGAGCTTGTCTTTCAATCACAGTGTGCTAGACTAGCAGTTGTCTACTTGAAGAATTATCATATGGATGAAGCGTAAAAGAAACAAGCTGCAATATGGAAAATTAGATATTGGGAAGAAAAATTCTCACAGTGAGGGTGGTCAAATACTGGAACAGGGCCCAGGGGGATTATGGGCTCCTCATCCCTGGAGATGTTCAAAATCCGACTGTGTGAGGCCCTGAGCAGCCTGCTCTGCCAGCAGCGCAGCAGAGAGCTGGACCAGGTGACTGCCAGAGGTCACTTCTGGCTGAAATTTTTTCTGTGATTCTGTGAAATATTTGTATCATTTAGAACATTAATAGTGTGGTACTGCCAGAAGAGTGTGAAAAGTACCAAACAAATTACTTCAGCTGCGGTGTTTTAACATTCAGCAAAGTTGTAAGAAGAAAGTGTTCAGAAAACTGAAGAGTTGAGAATAACCACTTTCTATTTAGGAATGCCGAATATAGTCATGGGAATACTATGAGTGTGTGATTAAGGTAACCTGTAACTTTTGCTATCAAAACTTTAATCGCCATTAGGACTGTTCTGC